CTCCCCCCTCCTGGCCTCCCCACCCCAGCAGGTGCTTCATCTCGCTGCAGATCCCCGTTCCCTCAGGGCCCCAGCTGGCTCTCAAACTTCACCCCTTCGGACACCTGTGCAAGCAGCTTCTCCCCGGCTCTTGCAGGAGGGACAGCGAGGCAGCCCGGCCCGGCCTCTCCTCCAGGTTCTCCGCTCGCTCCCAAAGACCCAAGCCCTGCTGTTTGTCAAGTGAGGTGAGGGAGGGGAGGTGGAATACACCCTCGCCCTGCCCTCCTGGGGCCCCCACCTGACCACCTGGGGCCTCAGCCCTGAGTTCTCCCACCCCAGCCTCCCTCCGTGCCCTGCTCCAGCTGGCTCAGCGGCTGGCTCAGCAGCCCCAGGCGCACCCACCCAGTTGGGATTAGACTGGCCTTGTGGTCAGCGAATTCCAGGATGGGCAGAAGGGAGGGGGAGGGCCTTTCCCACCCCCACACCGCCCTTGGCCACTGAGCTGGGGAGGGAGCTAGTCTGGGGCCCTTGCAGAGCATGTAGGGAGAGGGGCAGGGTCTCCCCAAGTTTTGGGGGCAGCTGTGGGGCCCTGGGCTGTGTCCAGGGAGCCGGCCCAGGGGCAGCCAGGCTGGGTGCAGCTCTAGGCTGCTGTGTGAGCACACAGGTGAGCGTGTGGGAGACAAGGTTGTGCAGTGAGTGTAAGCGTGTGCTGAGCGTGGGGCTGTATGTGTTAGCATGAGCCAGTGTGTGTATGTGGTGTGAGTACAGGTGTGTGTGGCCTGGGAGCCCCTGCTGTCTCCAGCAGGGTGGGCACTTATGTGGCCCCCAGCCCCCAGGGCTGCTCAGCTCCTGCACCTAAGTGCTCCCTCCCCTCTGCCCCATTCCCCCTGGGCCCCTGGCAGGCGAGCCTGGCACCTGCCTGACCTCTCCCCCGCCCCCCCCAGCTGTGCAGGGGAGCACCTGGTCAGTTTTTGCCAGGAGTGGGGGGGTGATGCTAAGCCAGGAGGGGATGTGGAGATAGCTGTGACTGCCCACCTGTGGTGGGGCAGTGCAGGGCCACCCCTCAGTGCTGCCCTCTTATCAGGCACTGGCAGGGCTGGCAGGGCCTGCAGGGGGCAGCCCTGGGCAGCAGAGAGGCGGCAGGTGAGCGCCAGTGGCCTGTGGGGCCTGGCTCAGCCAGCCTGCCTGCCTGCACATCGACGACCCAGCCTAGCTTGGCTGTTCTCAGGCCTGAAGGTTGCAGACCCATGACACCTGCTAGACCCCCGCCTGAGGAGCATGGGGGAGGCAGGTACAGTGGCCCAGCAGTAGGGTGAACCCAGTTCTGCCTCCCTACCTCCCTGTCCTGTCCCCATCCAGGGGTGCTGGGACTGGGCAGGCCTGGCATCTGCTGCTGGTGGGGACACGGAGCCTCAGCTCTGGATACAGGGCTGGCCAGTGTCAAGAGCCCAGTGCTGGGCAAAGCACATGGTCAGGGGCCTGGCAGGCTTCCCACCTGCAGGGCGACCTTGAGCTGGTAGCCTCTGGGCCTCAGTCTTTGGAGCTGCACACTGGGCTCAGCAGTCCTGCTCTCCAGTGCCCACCTCTGCTCCTGTGCCTGTCCCCTGGGTGAGGGGGGCTGCCCGGGGCCACCACAGCTCTGGCTGGGCACAGGAACCTGGGCTATTGTCTCCTTGCTCTGGGGTTAGTGGAGGTGTTGTAGGCGGCGGAAACAGCACCAGGTGTTAGACCCGTGGGGTCAGACCTGGCCTGGGTTCAGCAACCTTGGTACCTGGCTTCTGGTTAGGAAAGAACTGAGAGCCAAGACTCAAACTGTAAGGGAACAGTTATTTATAAAATCACAGGGGTGGAAGAAGTAATTCATAGAAAAAATTGGCTTAGGAAACAAGTTATACAGGCAAAGGAAGGGCTGTTGGAGCTTAGACGTGAGGAAGGTAAAGGTGACATGCCTGGGGAGTC